GGCGCGGGCAAGTGGGATCGCCCCGGCGGTGGCCACAGAGGTGCAGGACACCCCGGACGGGCTCTCCGTGTGCACGAAGGTATGAGCAAGGGGAGGGCTCGCGCCCCGGCGCCGGAGAAGCCGAGCCGAGCTCCCGCGGGTGCTGTCGGAGTTCGTCGGCAGCCGGCAAGTTCAAAGGCAAGGCTCCTGGTGCTCGTCCCGAACACGGGGCTAGCGAAACTCAAAGGTGCCTCTCGGGGACATCCCCAGCTCCCGGGGTGCCTGCCTGGGGACCACCAGCCCCCCGGTCATTGCTCCACCTCAAGCTTTAGCTGGTTGAGACTCATCAGCCACTTGCTGAAGCTCGTTAGCCACCATCAGAGCCAGCCAGAGCCACCAACTCCCACCTGGCACCGTGAATCTTCACACCATGCCCTCAGCTTCGGCAGGGCTACCCGGCGGCTGCAGCCGGCTCTGTGTCGGGTACAGGATCCAGACCAGCGTCAGGGTGCCTATTTTCAGATCATGCATTAAAAACAAAATAAAAAATTCAAGTCCACTGGCCCTGCCAAGTGTCTTTGCTGCATCCTGCACCACTCCCTCATCCGCGAAGGCTCCAGCAGCTTTCCATACCTGCTCCCGGGCTGCCCAAGGCGGACACATGCTAGATTTCACCCAGCTCCAGCTCCTGCGTGCCTGGTGGGCTTCTGCCCGAACCCTGGTGCAGCAGCAGAGGTGGTTCAGCACAAGCCCTCGGCAAACCCGTCCTGCTCTGGAGAGCACTGGACACGCGGCTCCATGCCAGCCAAGCGCAGCCGGTTGGTTTTGGGTCAGTTGGTGGCCTCGTTGCCGACAGCGAAGCCCATTTCTGGGCTTGAGTTCAGCACCAAAACGCCCAAGTTGCAGCCAGCACCGCGTGACCGTGTCGCAGTCTGTCCGCACAGCCACGCTCTCGCTCCCCAGCCCGAGCTGGAGAGCAGAAGTGAGAAAACCCATGGGTCGGGACAAAGACAGTTTAGTGAATGAAGACAGGGGAAAGAAACGACCCCAAGCGACACAAACACAATCCCTCGCCACCTCCCACACGCACGGTGCTGCCCAGCCAGGCTCCGAGCAGCGCGAAGGCCCCTCTCTCCTCCTGCTGCTGCCCCAGTTCTGTGGCCCAGCACGGCGTTACGCAGCACGCAGCGCCCTTTTGCTCAGCCGGGTCCCCCGCCGGCTTCTTACCCACCCTCAGCCTCCTCGCTGGGGCCGGAGCGAGGGGGAAGAGAAAGCCGCGCTGCTGTGCCAGCACTGTTCGCCAGTGAGCTATCAACAAACCCCCCACGCAGCGGGGCAGGGCTGCGGCGAACGGCAGCTCCGTCCCAGCACAGATCACAGGGAAGTTCTTCTCTTCCGCAATCCTCCCTCCCATTATGCGTTCGGTTGGGATACGGCAGGGAAAACAAACCCCAGACGGCGGCAGGGCTGGCTGTGTCACACGCAGCCCCCAGCAGCAGCGTTCCGTCACCAGTCACCCCGAGCTAATTGCACCCGGGCTCTAACGGCGACCCACGACTGTGCCAGCCACGCAGGGGCTCTCCGGTGAAACTCCCGCTCCAGCTAAAAATAAGTAGTGTGTTATTTCCTGACCTTCTGTCTTTGGGTGCTGGAGTGTAAACGATTTCCAAGTCAATGGAAACACCAGGATAGTTTCGCTGCTTCTAGGAAGGGCGGCAGATCTCAGGTGAGGAAAGGGGGAAGGTAACACTGAGGAAGGAGCCTGAGATAATTGCAATTAACACCAGCAAAATGAGTTGGGCTGAGTGACCCCCTCCCAGAGGGGTTCCTCCACCTGCAGCATGCCCCACCGTAGGCCAACAGCTGCGTAAAGGCTTCGTCTCCCTCCTCCTCCTGCATCGTTTCTGAAGTCTTTCCATTAGGTTTAATCAGAGGCTGATTAATTGCCAGGCTGGGCAAAAGTTATGAAGCACAGGCGGATCGGACTCGTATCGGAGGACTCGCCCGCCGGCAGCGCTGTCGGGTTTCCGGGACGGAGAGCAGCGCAGCTCCACCAGCGCCCTGCCAAAGCCTCGGGGGTGCGTGCCAGGCACGGCTCTATGCGGTGCCATCAGCCGTCGATGAGAACCGCCCGCGCCGCCAGCCGCAGCGGAGCTGAACCGGGACTACCAGCGGCGAGAAGGCAGGGAAATATGCCCCAGCCAGCGCATACAGCGGGGGGAAAGAAAGCAGAGTCCAACTTCAGAGGATTATTTTGGGTTACGGCGTTACAAATGGCCTTACAGGCACCATATCCCGCGTGTCATCCCTGCCCTCTGCCAAGTGAGTTTCCAACGTGAGATGCGTGTTCACGAAACAGACACCACAATCAGTTCTACTATTATTTATTTTTTTAAATATTTTTGAAAAAATATAATTTTTTTACAATATTTTCAACTTAAACACTATTCACACTGAACACGTATGGCAGCTTAACCTACCCGAATATGAAGTTTAAGAAGCCAAAACTGTTCTAGCTTTATTAAAAGGAAAAAAAAAAAACAAAACCAAAAACAGAAACAAAAAAAAAGTCGTTGTGCTGTAGACTATTGTGTAGTGATGATTAAACAAAGCAAGGGAAAAGCACCACTCAAATCACTAACGCTAGGGTCTTCTTGGTTAAATCCAGCTATAATAAAGTCGTACGCTAAAAGTTACATAGGCAGTGCTATGTACGTATCTGGGTTCTTGGAAGAAATTGTGATGAAACTCACATCTCCTTTAAACGTAATTCGGAAGCGGAACGTTTCTAACATGATAATATACTGCAAAGTCCCGGGAATTTCTTCCTTCCCATCGCTTGGGTGTTAGTTCGGCAGGTGAGATCTACGACTCTGGACAGGTCTGTAAAATTTCTGTTAAAGCTCATGCTGTTTAAAAGGAGCATGAAGGTTTGTTGGTTGTTTTTTCTTTTTTAAGGGGAAAAAAATTAACATTAGTAACAATACTGATATTTCAAAGGAAAGTTAGCTAATTTGCATAACAATCAGATCTCCTCGCTTTCATTTTGAAGTTAAGGCATTATCAGGTGCGCGCTAGCACCAGTTAACACATCTTTAGTTAAAAACAGACCATCCGTAGCAAATGCCAAGTCCTATTTAAAAAGACAGAGTCTGCAGAAGGTTTTATAAACGTGGTACTTTGTCTCAACTTGACTGGTGCTTCTTACCTCACTGTCTCCTTTGCAGAGAGCCAGGGCCCAATTATGTTTCCACTAAACTTTTTTTGACAGATTTACTTAATAACAGTCTCAGCACTTTTATTGAGCATGCAAGACTAACAAAACTTTGGCAATGCATAAGTGTAACACAGTGACAAGAAGAGAGAGCTTTTACAATTAAATCTTCTAATACTGGCTTCACAGTGTGGAAATTGTGCTACATCCACCAAGAGAGGGCCCAGTCTACTCAAATATTTAAGTACTTCACCCCAGGAACAAACTCCTTTGCGTTTGGATTCAGATTACTCTTGACCTGAGGAAGGGAAAAACAGAAGTCTCGGTGAAACATCGTTTTCATCTTCCATCTTCAAGCCGAATACAATTCGAGGCGGACAGCGTTAGGAACAGTTTACAGATTTAAAGTAACAGTCAGGTATATTATATGGGGTTTGCATATACCAAAAGTCTTTAAAACCACTAGAAAATCTCCCTCCTCTGTGCTAGCATCCTTCCTTAGCACCACCTGGATGTTTCACTCCAGTAAGGGCTCAGGGAAGAAGAACCAAGAAAACCACAGAGCGTGCATCGAACGCAGCAACTCCGATTCATGCTGAAATAGCTCTTCCCGAAGTTGAGCTGTTAAAACGTGCCATGAGGTTTTCAGACCTTGCTTATTTAAGCAAGAGGAGACTTGTTCCAGGAACTTAAGTCACTTCTGAGAATTTAACGTCTACGAGCACTGTATCGATTTTTAAAATTTCTTGAGTACCCTGTCCTCCCGCCTGGCAGGCGGCTGCGGCTCTGCGACGCGCTGCAGTTACGGGTGGGCAGCCAGCATCCCCAAAATGAGCTCTTTCTCATAAAGAAATGCAAGATGAGGCTTTTGTGTTCTTAACCGAGTCCAAAACTGCTGCCTGCAGCTGCTTAAGCTTCTAAGTAACAAAAAACTGCTTAAGCTTATCAGTAACTTTGTTATTTTGTTAGGGAAAATATGTACACACTGCCCTTTGCTTTCAGTTAAGCTCTGGACAGAAGTCACACAGCAAAAAGCAGGGAAATAATCACAGTTTAGCTGCTTTCCTCGTCCTTAGGATTGCTACAGAGAGATCGGCTATGGTTTGCGCGATCCAGACCAGTCCCAAGAACACGGCCTGCACCCACCCAACAGGAAAGTGTTGACAGACACCGAATTAAACTTTTGCAGTCCTGTCAACGAGTGGGACTTCACGGGGTCAGCGTGCTTCGCTGACCACCTTTCTTTCATAACACAATATGCATACCCAAAGCCACCTGAGTTTATGCCACGGGTTATGAAGAAAAACCACTGAATAGGTGGTTTCACCCAAGGAAACATCCCTTAGCCAACTGCTCCCCATTTCCCCCTCCACCGCAGCCAGGCATGGTTTAAGAGACTCTGGCCTGCATGTAAAACATTTTTTCTTGCCATTATCAGCAACAAATATCAGCCTCGGACAAAGAGAGATGTCAAGCTTTAGAAATACAATGAGAAACTGAATTTACCACCAGATCCTCCAGTGATGAGCTGTCACTGATAACAAGGTCATTGAACTGGTCCTGGATTTGATCCATTGTTTGTGGGAGATCACGGGCTGGAATAAACCATTCGTGCTCCTCCTCTTCTTCCAGCATCTCTTGGAAACAGCGCTCAATAAATTCTTCTTCCCACAACTCCTCTTCAATCTATACAACGAGAAGAAACTGCTTCATCAACAAACTGATCGAGAGCTTGTGTCTTCATTCCAAGGTTTGCGCACCTAGCTGACCTTCTTTCTAGCTACACGCTAGGACTTCTAGCTGAACATCACGCTTGAGCTGCAGGAAGGCAAACAGCTTTGGGGGGTTTTTGATGTAGAAAGGTGCTTTGTCCCAGAAACTTGGGCTGCAGTTAAAAGGGAAGGGCAGGAGAACACACCCCCCAGCCCTAGCTGTTTTGTTTGCAGCTCGTTAGGAGCTCAAGGAGAAGGAAAACGTTGGTTCCGAGTGATAATTTCCATTGTACCAACTAGTCTGGACTGCAAATACGAGGAAGGGAACCAGGGACAACGCATGCAGCCAGGCAGCCTAGGAAAGTGTCCTGCGAGATTCTTGGGAAAAATATAACCACTGCCCGTCACCTGGAAAAAACAGCATCTCCTTGGCTGTAGGTTATGCGTTCGCACGATGTAGCTCTCCTAAGGAACTCCACATGATCTTAGCAGCTGTTCAGAACGCTGACCTGCTGCACTATAAGCAGGACAAATCAACTGATGCAGAACTGACATGCACTGCAGAGATTAAAGGGAAGTTTTGCTTGGTTGTTCAGTAAACAAGCTGGGGAGGGAGCTCATCCCGACAAATTTTCCAGGTCCTGCATCGCAGTACTTAAGAGTGGAAAGCAGGGAAATAGAAGCTGGTGTGAATGACTTGCAAGACACAAAGGAGCGGAAAAATTATTCAGGACAGATTTAAAAGTTCCCTCAATGGAAGCTCAAACATGTTTTCCAATCTATCCTTCTCTGAAATCAAACACATACTTGATCCTAAAGTGGAAATTCAGTTACATATCACAAATGCCAAATCAAAGCAGCTCAGGCCCGAATTCAGCATTCCTGTAAAATCCAGGTCCCCTAGGTGCCCCCTGGGGTAACACACTCACCAGCTCACTTGACGCACAGCTTTTGGGGAACAGGGACTCACCACCATATGCTCTAAGCCACTGTCCAGACAATACAAACCCCGCGCAAATCACCAACTTCATAATTTCCCCAGTAAAGCACTCCAGCAAGGAGAGCGGTCCCCAATCAATCCTTCTTGCGAGGCACTGTCTCTGTCCTGCGTGCGGGCAAAAGGCAGCCGTGGGCACGCCGCCACAAGCGAGTATTACAGCGGGGGTTGCCCCGCTCTGGGTTTTTTGTTACCCGGTTGTACACCTGCGGGCGCCTCCAGTGGCAGCTCCAGAAGTACTAAATAACATCTAATTCCCCAAATGTCTTGAAATTAATACTGCCCGTTTGTGTTTTCCAGCCCAAGTTTAACTTGTTCAGGTTCCCAGAGATGTGCGTGCAGCAGCAGGCGACCAGGCTGCCACAGGACGTTTGCCTGCCTGAATAAGACCATTCTCTCCTCATGCTCCCACCGCTCCTCTTCTCCAAAAATGGAGTCTGTACCAGAAAAACAGTTTATTCATGGCAAAACTCTCAGCTTCTTCCCCAAGAACCACACATCCCATATGCTAACTACAGCACAGTCCCCAGGAGGAAAACCCCAGCAAACAGGAAACACCACCAAGACCATCCTGGCATATGCACAAGGGAATTTTAGATTTTGTGGGCAACGTGAATTTCAGATTAGCTTTGTGCCCTGCTGGCACCCTAAGGAGAGAGCAGCAGACATATCCTATTTCAGAAGCTCAGACTTCAGCACAGCCATACTGCGCTGGAGCGCAGAGAAAGCAGCGACTTGAGTACAAAGATCAAGTTTTGATTAAGAAAGGGGCGGTGGAAAGAGGGAGGCTGTTCCCAGCCTCCACAGGAGAGAAAACTCTGTCCAGATGTAAGCTGAAAGACAAAGTGAAGGCTTCCGTCCAACCCGATTGCGAAGGCCAGCAGTAAGACACTTAAGTATTAAGCAACAAACAGGACTGCCACCTAACAGCTTTGTCCACCAACTCCCTCAGGAACACCAGCCCTGTTGACGAGGCAGGTATGCACCCGGACGTAGCCAGTTCGGAACTACCGCAGCTGGCATGTTCGCACACGTAAAACCTCCGCAGCTCAGCAGCCTAGCAAGCTCCGTCCTTTCCACGGTGCCACATAAAGTCTACTATTTTTTTCTTCCTCCCTCCTGCAGAAGTAGGGAATCAATGGATGCCTTTGAAAATGTCACACTTCCCATATTTCCCACCAAGATTACAGAAAACAAGTATTTACTGCCAGAGAAACCGAGACCTGTCTGTTCCCCAGGATTGTTCTAGCAAGCCTAGCTAAAAACCCCATCTCTAAAGGATTCCCAGTCTTGTACCCTGGTTGCTAAGCCACAGCACCTCTCCCTTCAGCTAGAAAATGGTAAAGCACATCACAAGACATTTAGAGAGGGAAATGACTTGCCTGCCTGTTAAATTCCTCTTCGTTCTCCATCCACATGTACTCCGCAAAGGGGTTGTCATCTTCATGAGAATGACCATTTATAATCACATCTTCGCTGATGATGCTTGGGCTAGTACTGCTGCGACTTGGATCTTTCATGGCTGCGTCTTCGATTCAAAGTCTGCAATTAAGAAATGCAGTAATTAAAGATGTGCAGATTCGCTCATCACCCTGTTTCTGCATAAGTCCGGCCCAAGGGAAGGCTGCACCTGAAGCCCCAGGTAGCCTCACGGTGACTGGAGCAGAGGAGCTCTGCTAATCGCAACAAGTAAAAGAGGATCAGAAACGCCGTTTCCATTGTACGTAGATCTGAGTGACAAACTCATTTCCCAAATTAAACCTCACCCAAATGCCAATGAAAAGTGACAGGAAAAACCAGAAAGCATGTGTACTTGCCAGTAGGAAAGTATTTAAGGCAACATTTAAGAAACAAAAGGAAAATTTGTTTTCCAAAATACTGTTAAAGCTCCCACCTGAGTCTCACCAAACTCCTCTGGAAATGACCTGCCCGGAGCCTCAACTGTTTCCAAGATGGTGAGCAACACTGCAGGGGAATTTCCAAGGATACCCACGGTAGGGGAAACTTTGGTGTGACTTTTAGCCTGCCCAAATTCAGTTACAGGATGTTCTACGTGATCGCATGAACCAACTTTCATGGCCATTTCACCGCTGAGAACCCTTGCAAGAGAGGCAGAAACCATTACGTACCCATTACTCACAGAGCCAATTTGGCACAACAGTTCTTACAGCTACCTCATTAGCAAAAGCCCACTGATTAAGAAGCTTCAGGTAAAGAGAAACATCATAAGGCACTGGAAGACAGTACGTGCTCGTCTCTCATCCCACCTCATTAATATGGATTGACTCACGCCTGGAGAGCGCTCAACATTACTGCGTGTCCATGATACGTGATATCACAAAGTCCTGAACTCAAGGAATGAAGGCACAGTTGGCAAGCGGGTTTTGTTCCACCTAATCACAATCAAAAGCAGGACAAAACCTAAATTGGGTCTGAATCCTTGTCGTAAGGGTGGCATTGCAGCCTGTCCGTCAGGCTTGCAAGGCTCTGTGAAGCTTGTAACTCTGAGTCCAGAGACCCAACTCTGCTCAGAGCCCAGGTTCTAACTGAAAATCGTACTTGTGTCGCAAAGTAAATGAGACAACGCTGCTGTTTGTCCTACACCATGCTTAAGTACAGATATCAATACTGGAAAAGCTGCATATTTTTAGATACCAATACTGGCAATGTTAATTATTTTTTTAGAGTATACAAAGCATGCGAGGCAATGAGCTCAAAAAAAAAAAAAAATCAAACTTGAATATTTTTCTCGTGCTAAAAATTCACACCACCACCATGCAGCACCGAGTGAAAATATTTTTATTTTATTCTCAAATCAAAGTTTTAGCTTGTTGTCTGCATATCAAAAATGACTTATTCAGACAAGAGGGTATCAAAATATAGCCTCCATTGTTATTAGAGTACAGGGGCTTATCACGTAGCAGCTCATACTTTCCCTGTATATTTCAGATGATCCTATCATCTATGGAATTAATTCAAGTTTTCGTTCAAAATATATTCTTGACAATACCAGGTAAAAGGCTTGTCAGATCCAAATGACCAATTAAGAAAAGCACAAAGAGAAAGGAATTTGCCTGGTTTGCTCTATTCAAGGTTTTTAAATCAAAGGCACACCAAGTACGGAAGTCACTTTAAGCTCCCTAGGAAGTACAACAAATGAGACCAGAACCCGGGTATTCTAGCAAGAGAAAACAGGTTCTTTTTGATGTTCTTTCAAAACAAACTTGCAAAGGATTCCGGGCAGCATTTAACATAAAACAGGAAAAGACATTGCATTTAACACCCCAATTCAAGCTTGAAATTGCTTTAAGCAACTTCAGCTGTTCACAAGCTAACAAATGGGATAGACTAAAAGAACTAAAAGTCCTCCGAGTCTCAAAAGCCTAATTTCTTCCTCTTTTTGTTTTTTAGTGGCATTTTCACCTTTTTCTTTTTTTTTGTGGAGTGAATCTTGGTATTAATATTCCATCGAGCTTTCTGCACTCCAAAAATTTACACTCTAGGTGATTAACTCTGCATTAGCAGTGTAATGTACTCAGGCCAAATTCCAGGCAGCTTCTGTACAAAGATGACTGCATAAAGGTAAAAATAATAACTAAACCACCCCTAGTTGTTCATATAAAAGCTTGAAAGGTTAATTTGTTGAATCAGGAGCTAGTTTTCCAATTTCTTAAATGTTCCCATAGAACACAAGCTATTTGCTTTAGGAGGGAGGGAAGAGAAGTGCAGTGTTTCACATTTAGACTGAAACAACTTTTTCCATTACTGCCCAAGGACGATGTGGATGATTATCTTCAAGACAGACCCAAGGCTCAACCTGAACATCTGAAGTTTATCTGATGAAGCCCTAGGTCCGCTAAATGTTTTCCCACAGGAAAACGCGTCAACAAATGCTTAACCTGCACGAACAGTTAGGAAGCCCCAGGCCAGTCCTTTACTCACAGCACTCCTTGTAATTTGATTTTCTGCAACTCGTAATAAAATATACGGTATAGGGAGCTTTCCATTTCACCGTTTCAAGATACAAACCGGTTGGCTTTCTGTGCTCATTTGCGAGGACAAGATTAGTCTCGTTTCACCGGTATTGGATACAGGCTTTTTAGTCATGAGCTACAGGCAATTCTGAGGAGAGCCAAATGGCACTTTAGTCTTGCAAAAAGTCACAATCTACGAAGGCTGCTGCAGAAAACAAGCCGGAGTGACAGGCTACACTACTGGTGTGCATAAAAATAATACGTTTTCCATCTGGCAGTAGGTGGAAAGCAGAGGCTCTCAAAGCTTCTTACACTAGAACAGGAAATATAACATTAGCAGTGCTAAGGAACAGAAAATATGGAGAATTCTGCCACAGTGGTATGATTGGAGTTCCAGCCCCAAATTATTCCAGGATTGTGGCAGGGGTGGGGGTGATGCAGGAAGAACTGTGAAAGAGCATGAAGAAAGACGCTAAAAACCAGGATTTTTATCTTAAGAATGAAGTCAGAAATTAAAAATCCTGTAACAACAGGACTTTCAGGTAACTCAGTGTTTTCTGTATGAAGTGTGAAACTCATTACTCCAGAACATCATTAAGGTCCATCAATTTACCCGTTTCTCTGAATTTTGCTGCATTTATAGCAATGAAGAGCCCTAGCCCAACCATCAATAAAATTCAAAGCTTTCCGACTGAAGACTTTGCATTTAAACCCCAATCACGAAGGAAGATTATTTTAACACTTACTTCGGAAGATAAGGTCAACGGGCCTAATTCCATAGACCAAAACATAGATCCTTCCCCTTGATTTAAAAAAAAGGGGGGGGGGGGGAAATAAGGTATTTGCTTCAAGCATCCAAAAGCAACGCCTCACATTGGGATTTTAGTAGCGGCTGAAGTTTAAGCAAAGCTGTTTTGGTGCAGCAGGGAGTGCTTTGAACTTCTGCAGAGGATGGTGTTATTTGTTTATTAGCTAGTGATTACTCTTGTGAGTCAGGAGTGCTGGCCGAGTTTCTTGTTATCTAATTACATTAGCAACTAGCAGTTATCAAGTCAACCGATTATACTCCGGATAAAAAATAGATTTCTTAATCAAATCCACGAGGGATGCCAACGCTATCTGATATAAACACTTCAAAGCGTTGCACTGGGGTTTACTTGAAAACAGCCGACTCCTTTACACCACATACCAGCGCCGAGGCGTAAAAACAAAGTTGGCGGCGAAGAGCAGAGCGGTGGCAGAGACGAGCGGCTCTGCCGGGACCGGGAGCCCCTCGGAGGGGACCGGGTTTGCTCCCCGAACCCCTTCTCTCGGTAACATCGAGCGCCGCCGCCCGCCGTTGCTTTTCTCCCTTGTGCATTAAGCAGTCAAGGCACCATAGCTTGCCAGTAGCTGTTTAATATTAGATATGCTCATAAAAATTTTAATTATCACCTTTGAATGAAGTTTAATCTACAGTTGTCAGAAAATATGAAACACATGGCACTAGAACATAAATTATATCCCTCTTGACAATGTTTCCTTTCAAATAAGGAAAACCGAATCCTGCACGTTCAGTCAAGGGCAGTAGAATATTCTTTCCCCATCAAAACAAAACAAAAAGGGATTAGAAAGAATGCAGGTTTGGTGAGGTGTACGATATTTTCTATGGCAACTAAAACCCACAAACTAAATCAGATGCTTGTGTATAAATGAGATAATTTGTGCAACAAAAATGCAACAGTTAAAATGAAATAGGTATGTTTTAATATACTGGCTTGGTAGAAAAACTCATGTAATTTGTCTTCAGTAGTATGGATTATGGAGAACTTGTGCTTGTTTGCTTGATGGAAAACTGGGTTTGTAGATGTAGTAGATTTGCCTGTTCGCATAATTTGTGTTTCTGAATTGGTAGTTAAAACTGTTCTCTTAATTTGGCTGATGTTACAGCAATACTTGTCTTAAACGGCACGCTAAGACCTAACTTTCTCATCTCTGCCTGTCATGCAACAGCTGTTATTGGGGGTTTGGTTTTTTGAGTATGTTAGCTGTGACCTCTGTAGGGAGGTGGTTCTGCGGGAGTGCAGAGCACGTCTGTGTGTTGGTCCTGCCTTCATTTCCTCTTACCATTTGTGGGCGAGCCGCCATCTTGTGGCGCCGGCTGGGCCGGCCAGTCGCCTTAATAACGCGGTGGCCCCCGACCACCCTCCCGCCGCCGGGGCGAACCTGCCCCGCTGGCAGCGGCACGCCAGCCGGGAGGGAAGAGGCACCGGAGGAAAGGTGTGACCCTGCTGCCCTCCCGGGGCCCCAGCCGTCCTAGGGAAAGCACCCAGCCCTGGGCTCGGCTGAGGGAAAAGAAATACAATACTTTTTGAAAAACACGCCTGTTTACAAAACAAATGTTTCCGCACTAGGCTCATGCATTTTTAAGGCTCTATATTAGGAAGCGGGAGAGAACGAATGTTGTTTGGGACCTACATTAAGTGCCCAGACTTTAACCCTACTTGCAACAACACAGGGTGAAAAAGCAATTTTTTATTCTCTCCTTTTATTTTCCCTCTACTTTTTCTTACAGGTAAGGTGGAAATGACTGTGTC